CCTCTTCTTCGGCTGACTTGATAATTTGGACAAGCCGACGTTTCTCCTGACAGTGGCGATTGTCCTCATTCCACGGTTGCGTGCCAGCTGTGCTGCGGCTGCTGCCACGACCCGCTGCGCTTCGGCATACGCCATGGCCGGTGATAGCCGACGCCGCAGCCCTCTCTCGCCTTACCCGTTCGCCCCGTTGGAGTCGTTCCTCCCCAGGGGACCCGCTCCCGAATCGATTGTTGCGCGTATCAGCGGCCGCGCAGGCACCTCTGGTGTTCACCAAGGGGCGCACCCCATGATTTATCCCGTGCTTCGCGGCAACACTATCAGGCTCCCGTCCGCCAGCCTCGAGCCCATCGAATGAAGGTCCAGCACCAGCAATTCAGTGCCGCACCCGTGCCTGGGCGCGCTGGTTCCGCGCCACGCACTTCTGGCCAGTTCCAGGGTTGATCCGCCGATGCCGGGGGAGGACAAGTCCATATGGAGTAAGGCCATATATGTGTGACTGAGTGCGTGTGTCACCGCCTTGTTCCCGCTCCGGTTTGCTCTGTCGTGCGGTTCCCCTCCGGTGCCTCCAGACACCTGGCGCCCCTCCAGTCCGTGCTGTCCTGTGCTGCCTCGCCAGTGCCTCGCCGCCGCCTCTTCCTGCCGCCGCTGCCCCCTCTCCCGTCTCTGTGCTGCACCCGCGTTTCCTGTCCTGCCTTGCCGCTCGCTCCTTGCGGCCCCGCCTTTGCCGCCGCCGCTGCGCTTCGCCTTGTCCCGCCCGCAGTGCTGTACTGGCCGTTCGGCAGCCCCTCGGCCCTTCCCTGCGTCTCCCCCCCGCATCCCTACCCTGGGCTTGCGTATGACATGATTGATCTCCTCGGGTGGATCCCTGTCCCCGGCCTCTACGTGGGCCGGCGGCGCGCGTTTCCCGCTTCTAGCTGTTCGAGCTTCTGCGCCTCGATGCTGCGCGCGAGGCCACGACGCCAAACAAATATGTGTGTGCGTGGGTGTGTGTGTGTGTGTGCTTGTGTGTGTGCGTGTGTGCGTGTGTGCGTGTGTGCGTGTGTGCGTGTGTGCGTGTGTGCGTGTGCGTGTGCGTGTGTGTGTGTGTGTGGCGACTTTGCTGCTGGATCCTATTTGGAGTGAGGTGTGCTTGTTGACGCTGCGTGTTCCCCACCAGCCGATCCAAGAACGAGCCTCAGGCGAGTTTCCTCGACCAAGGAAGCGTGGCTGCGGGCAGTCCAGGAGCGAACCATGTAGTTATAGGCATTCGCCAGGTTTCTGGAGGAGGAGGACAAGGAAGGGGGACTAGGGCTTAGGACAGCAAGGACTAAACCGCAACCCGCAGATAATAAAGCATCCCCCTTAACCTTTGTATATGTTTATCCACGGGATTGAGTGTGTTTAAATTGCCACAACAGGCGTGGAGGCCGAACTGTATTATCCCCTTCAAAGTTCCGATAGTAGCTCCGATCTTCATCTCATGCATAGCACCATGAATAGTCCCTATTACAGTATATTGTTGTGAGGATGTGTCAGGCGAAACGCAATATTTCACAGGAGTCCTGCTCTTCCCACATATCGAAAGAGGCCGCCCGGACGGATCCTGGAGGCGTTTGGCGATCGATCTTGAAGATCGATCCAGAAATAATGGATTATTTTCCCTGGACCTCAACTTTAGTATCCCAAGAGGATTGTTCTCACCGGTATCGGGTGAATATGGAGGAGGGAGGAGCGAGGAGGAGGAGACAGAGGCGGAAAAGAAGGACGAGGAGGAGTAGGGTGAGCAGAAGGAAGACGAATGTACCAGAATGCGTTCACATTCAATGTCAGGGGAAGTCGGTCGATGTGGGGGGAGGAAGAGAGGGAGGAGGAGGAGGAGGAGGACGACGACGACGAGCAGGAGGAGGAGGAGGAGGAGGAGTAGTAGGAGGAGGAGGAGGAGAAGTCGTAGTAGTAGGAGGAGGAGGAAGAGGTGGAGGAGGAGAAGGAGGAGGAGCCTGGAAGGAGGAGGAAGCCACCCCGTCCATCCCTGCTGATTGCAACATATTGAAAATGACAAGCTGCTCGCGGCGTTGAGGTGAGAGCCCCATTTCTGAAAGTCGCCGCCCTCCATCCTCGTAACTGTGGCAAGCTTTTGCAGACCAATGTGCGCGGCGTTGAGACAAGAACACCATGTTGGGAACCATCCAACTCCATCCTTGCAGTTGTTGCACATGTCAATCTCCAGGACCGTAAATGGCCAGGACGTGTCAGTCGAAAGGCCTGGCGGCCCGTCCTGCCGACATGTCGAGGGGTTCGACAGGGAAGAGTTATCTACCATGGGAAGGGATGCAGCAGGAGGAGGAGGAGGAGGAAGAGGAGGAGGGAGGAATAAGGTGACGACGACGACAGGAGTCGACCACAAAGGCTTTCGCGGATTTTACTCTCTGGGAGCCTCTTGGAGACCTTTTGAAGCAATTTTTGGAGACATCGGAGGCCTCTTGGGGCTCTCACGGGGCTCTTAGGGGCCTCTTCGGCGCCTCTTGGGGCCAACGCCAGGGGGCATTGAGGAAGACAGGGGTCGGCGCTAATCAACCCCCCCTTGCGGGAGCCCAGAGAGTCGTCTATTGTGAGCATTTTGGGTCTTTTTTGGAGCGATCTTGCGCGGCTCTGGGGTTGTCGTGGTGTTTTTCTAAGCCCTTATTGGGGCTCTCTTGGGCGGTCATGGAGCCGTCTTGAGACCTCAGAAGCCAATCGGAAGCGAAAAGGCGCGAAGGCGACAGTCATTGGACGTACGTTTGATCCTGACGGATTTTGGTGGGGTTTCGTTGGGAGGCTCCGTGGCCCTTTGGAGCCATCTTGGGGCAGTCATCGTGTGCCATCTTGGAGGCCATCTTGGGCGGGCTATCTGGCCAGGTTAGAGCCATCCTCAACCAAAGAGCCCATCGAGCATCTCGCCCCCCTCCGCTTGGACCCTGGGGAGAGTCTTCCCCTGGTATGACGGGCGGACCCCTCAGGTCCCCCTGGGCGACAATGCCCGCGTTGACAGGACTCTTTCTTGGCCTGGCCTGTCTCCAAGCTGGTCTAAGGCGGCAAGAGGAGACAGGACAAGCCAGGGCAACTCAAGGCGCGCCAAGACAAGCCAAGATAGCCTCCAGGCCGGCCCAAGTTGGCCATAATACGCCCCAAGAGGCCTCCAAGACGGCCTAGGAGACAGGCAGGACGCCCCACGACTGACCCTCGCGGACTCCCAAGATGCCCCCAAGATGCATGCATCGCTGAATTCCCTGACGGTTCTGTAGGATTCTGCCATTCTCGCCCTTTCGGTCTTCGGGGCGTCCGCGACGGCCCCGGAGGCCCGGAGACCGCGCCAAGACGGCCCGAAGAGATGAAGAGCTCCAGGTTGGCCCCGAGACCTCCTCAAGACGGCCCGAGACCCTCACACCGCCCAAGAGGGCCACGCGACGGCCTCCAAAGGCCCCCGATGGGGCTCCCAAGACCAAGGGTCAAATTCGGAGGAGGAGGAGAAGGGGGAGGAGGAGGAGGAGGAGGAGGAGGAGGAGGAGGAGGAGGAGGAGGAGGAGGAGGAGGAGGAGGAGGAGGATGGAGGAGGAGATGGAGGAGGAGGAGGAGGACATGAGGAGGAGGAGTGAGGGAGGGGGAGGAGGAGGAGGAGGAGGAGGAGGAGGAGGAGGAGGAGGAGGAGGACATGTTCGGGAATGTTCGCTTAGATGACGACGAAAGTCCCTGCTCATTTGGCAACTCTGCAACCTTCTGCCTCACGGACCGCCTTCGGAGGCCCCGAGGGGTGGGGATACTTTCCCGCGTTAATTCGCGCTAAATAATGTCTCCCTTTGGGCGTGGGGGTACATTCCGTAACCAACAGACGAGGGTCGGTGGTGCAACTAAATCCACATTTACTACAGAAAGTAAGGCAGTATGTGCTCCAATACTGCAACGTGTGCGACGGATGCAGGACCCTACCGCCCATTTTCTGGGGTCCACGCAGAGACTCGAACTCCCGAAACTGCTTGCTCGAGCACTGAGTCGCACACACTTGGAAAATTGAATCGTGATTCGAAAACTGCGAACACTGCGTGCAGTAAAACTTCGTACACACTCGGCACCATCGATGGTCGGAGTCCCTTAAAACACGCGCCAATTTCGGGAGCGGTGCAGGGTCTCTGATTTTCGGGCGGTCCACGGACCACGGATCCGACAAAATCGCGCACCCCAGGGCCCGACGGGCACGTCGTCGGATCAAGGCGGCCTCCGAATCCCTCCTGCCGGTGGGAGGGTCAAAGACAACAAAACTGGTCCACGAAATATCAGCCATCGCCGCCGCCAGCGCGTCCGCACACTCATTACCGAACGCGCGGAGTCTGTCGGCGTCGGTTCGGAGTGTCGCCTCCTCTTGGTGGGAGGCAACCCATTCGAGCAGCACATCTTCGGGCTCTCTGGCTTGCAGTGCTGAGGCTACCCTGGACCAGAGATCGGCGTTGGCTCCCCCCACGTTCGCAAACTCGAAACGCCTTCCTCTAGTCCAGGTCGACAGTATGGGAAGATGATCGGTGATAAAACGCAGCCGGCCTGGGAGGAGCTCCAATGCAGAAGCGAAGGCGGTAATCTCCGCGCGAGGCACAGTCTGCCTCCTCCCTTGGATGGTGGTTCCCAAACCCCAGGCCGACTTGCAAAAGAGTCCTTCTGGCGCAAGCGCAACTACACCAACCCTGTGACGCCGAGGGTCATCCGAAAAGCCCCCACCCGACCCGTCCCCGAAAACGGTGGCGTAACCTTCGGCGTCGCGAGGGATCGAATTGATGGCCCCGAAGCACCTGGTCTCTGGGGGTCCGTCGTTAAAACTGGGAATCGTTTCCCCTCTTCCCTGGGACCCCTCGGAGCCAAAAACTCGGGGCGCTCTCGTGGTTAACTCGGGCCTGGACGAATGAAATATAAGATTTCGCATTGGCCTCTCAGTCCCAAATTCTGTGAAACAGCCTCTCTGGTGCCCTCTGGCACCGTGGACACAAGAGACTCGGGACTTCATAGCCTGCCTCACTCAGACGCTCCCGCGTCCACTGGCCTCCCTCGACGACGACCACGTTCAAGGCCCACTCGTCGCCCTGGTCGCTGGTACCGAGCCTGGCCATCACTTTGCACACGTGGTACATATCCGCACCGCTGCCAAGGTCCGTGCTGTCCAGGTGGTTCGCCGCCGACCTCCACAGCTGGGCGTCTATGGTCGCCTCCACATCGTCCAGGGTATCCGTAAAGTCGCCGTGAAACTTGCTGAACTCGTCGTCCACCACCGACGGAATCGACCAGCAACACTGATCCGATTGCCAAGTCACAGGAGAACTCGGGTGCCAGCCAATGTCATAATGTCGCAATCGTAGCGCCTATCGGTCCTTTCACAAGCCACCATCTCCTCGATCCCGCGATCTGAAGTCGTAGTCTGATCTTATCCCAAGCTAGAGCCAGAGTAAAGTTGTTCACGTCGAATAGACTTCGCAAGATCTCTAGCTTTGAACGTCATCGCCACTGAAGTAGTCAGACATCGTCCAGGCCCACTACCCACCGAACACTGCGCAGCTTGACGACGAAGACTAGTGAGGAGATGGTTGGGCACTCCGTAAGCTTGATGCCCGTATGTACATTGAGGACGGACTCCCGTAGACCACAAAGAAGAAGTGATGTGCCTCAGTTTAGGGTACCGTCGCATCTTACGCATCACCTGAGGTCCCCGACGAGACTTGGATATGCGTTCCTTCATTTTCTTAAGGCTGTGCCTCCTGCCCGACGACGTGTCCACACCCGAATCAACAGCTTCCGTAGATACTGCTACTGGTACCCCACTTATTCGAAGTTGCTTCGCAGCCTGGGTCGGCAATCCTGTTCGAAGAGGCCACCAGAAGCGTCTTGTCACTCACCGTAAAACCTGCACGAACCAGCTCTTCACACATGTAGCTGCCCGAATCTGCAATAGTACCTATCACCTTGTTTTCGGTGCCTTCGACTCTGATGACCGTGTCGCCCACAAAGGTACGCAAATTATCTGAAATCCGTATCTGTCATGTGCTCTGGCCAAGATAGGCCCCAATAGTGCCTTTGCCATGCGACCTCCATTGAGAGAAACTGCCACGATGCCTCGCTCTAATTGAATGGCATGAGAAATCCAAGATCGATCCTTCAAGTATCTCGGGGTTAAACACATCTGTAACTCCAAGGACAAAACAGTAGCTGAAACCCTTGCGTCAAGGCCGCAGCACACGACTCCGCGATGTCCAAGCTGTCGCAAAACTTCTCGATGTCCAGAAGAAGGGCAGCCGAGGAAATCTGTAGTTCTCGACCCGATTCGTCGAGTAGACCTCGGACCAGCGCCGCCTGTAACGCCGAAGACCCTCGGATGGCCGTGTCCCCGTGCTCGTCCGCATCGATGGTCCATCGCAACGTCTCGGAGCTTCGGATCTTCGCCCACAACTCCACCAAGAACGGCACAAGGCCGAGCACTCTATCATCTCCTCCTCGGGGTTTGGGCGCTACCGCGCCGATGACCGCGAAAACTTGGGCAGGCCACATACAGTGCGTCTCTATGGCTACATAGAGGTGTTTCAGCTCGTCGATCGCTTCGTTCGGCAATCGCTGCACCTCAATGGGTCCCATCGCGTCCACGCCCGTAGACTTCCTGGCGTTCATGCCGGAGACCGCCGTGCGAATGTCCTCCACCGACAGCTCTGGCAACTCCTCCTTCTTCGCGCGCAGGTTGACGTACTCGACTCCTTTGAGGGCCTTGGCGACGCAGTTGGGACTCGACCAAACCTTCTGCCACTTGTCCGCCCTATGGTCCATGACCTCGTTGGGGGAGGAGTATGCCATCGTCGGGGTGACGATCTCATCAGGCTTGTCGATGGTACCCCTCGCGTATCTGTGGAGCACGCCTGGCGTGGACTTCCGCATCTTGGTAGCCCACGCTTGGAAGCCTCTCTTAGCCTCCGCCAACGCCTTACCAATCGTACGATTCTTGAAACGTTCAGAGATATCGCATAGAACGTCGTGGTCCTCATCCTCCATATCCGTCATTACCGTCATCATGCCTTTCCACCGAATGAACGAATCCTCCTCCTGGAATGCGCGGCGCAGGTCCTTCGACTCAGCCACCTCCATCAACTCCTCCAGTTAGCCGTAGAGAACCTCCAAGTCGGTGCACCCGCGGCGTGCATGTCCGCGTGTGATTTTTTGTTGCTCGCCGTGGGCCCGACGCACGTAGCAGTCGAGCTCGTAGTAATAGCGTAGTGTAAATATTCCACCACTCACTCCGCGGGTCTCGAAGATGAGGCCAGTCAGGAGTAGCCCGCGTTTGCTCCCATGACTCCTTGCGCCCAGCACCCCGTCCTCGTGCTCTAGCTGCTTCTGCCGCAGGTAGCTCGTGATGCAAGATCGTAGCCTCCTCCAACGTGCCGACCCAGGTCTCGTAGGTCGAGGCGATCGCGTCGCGGAGCGCCTGATCCCAATCCGGGAGGAAGTGCGGGGGTGGGAGCCCACACATCCCCCCCTGGCACAGTGCCCGGGCCTGCTTCCAGTGCCTCGGTGCTGACGTCGAGCGCGACGCCTGCTACCGGTGCCGACGGCTCGCGGTTCAGCTCCTCGTAGGTCTCCTGGGGATGCTCCTCTAGCCTCTCGAGCCGCTTCCTCTTGGCCTCCTGCAGCTTCTTCTGCCTCCTGCTCTCTGGGTCGGGCCTGGTCGTGGGTCTCGGCACCGTAGGTAAAGCCTTCGCCGTGATCATCGTCCTGTTTCGACCAGCCCAATTTGCCGTACTTGACGTGTATACACATGCCCGCGCGCGTGCGCCATGGGACCTCAGGAACGATCCTGAGCAGCAGGGAGTCCGCCAAGCCGACCTTCGCAATGACGTATCGATGAACGACCCTCTGCCTCGGTTGCACGTTACCTCCCGTTGCTCGGGGCGACCAGTTGACCTCCAACCTTCGTGAGCCACTTCGTCGCCTCCCAGCCGCTCGGCTTCGCATTCCAACCGCCCATCCAAATCCAGGGATCCTTCACATGTCGCAAGAACGCCGCAATGCGCATCAACTTTTGCTCGTTGGCGCCGCCGAACTTCAGGCCTGGGAGCATGTAGCAGGAGACCACCACCAGATTTCCAACTCTGGCATGCCACGTGATGGGACAGAAACCTTTGAAGCAGTCATCGCCAGTCCGTACTCGTTCAGCTTCTCGTAGACCCTCGAAAGATGTGGTTGCCGTGCGTTTCTGCGTGAAGATCCACTCGCCGCCCGTTGTGCCACTCGTGTGATCGACCCGTAGTCGTGGACTCCGTAGCCATTACTTTCCAGCCGTCCTTACTGAGATCCGCCTTCGCCGCAGCCAGTCGTAAGCCTGACATGTGCGTCTCCGTAAACCTTATCATGTCGTGCTCCTTCGCCTGGCCTTGCATGAAAGACTTGGCCACGGGCCCCCATTCCGAAATGTTACTGAATACAATCTTGCTTGAGTGATTATCCGTGTAGTGCCTGGTGTAGTTGTTTATATTGGTGCTGGGATCATTCGTGAACTCGACTTGGGTGGCGCCACCCCCTGCGAGGGGGTTGCGCCTGAAGCAGAACAAGCAGAGCCGCCGCCAGAAGTGCGCTTGCCGCCAGCCTTAGCCTTATCCACGATCTTCTTGCGCTCTGTCTCCAAGGCCGCAGCTCTCTCGGCTTCTGCAGCAGCCTTGACCACAGCCGTCGGCTCCGACTCGCCCTGCGCAGGGGTGTCGTGCTTCTCGGGGTCCGTGGCAGCCGCAGACGCCGCCTCCGCACCAGAGCCTCTGGCAGCCTGTCCGCTCTCGTCCACGCGCTGCCGCTTCGTGGCCCCCGAGCGGATGTCCTTAACCCTGGCGAAGTGTTCCTGGACCGCCGCCTGGATCGCTGCCACCTGCTCGCGCTTCTCCTTGATGATGCCCTCCAACTCGCGAAGCATCTTCTGCTCCTCCTCGCCGTAGGCCGAGACGTCCTTGAACAAGATGTCGTCGACCGCGAAGACCACGCGCTTGCCGTCCGACGTGTAGCCCTGGGGGACTCGCTTGATGTCCGCCTCCTCCGCCACAAGTGCGACGGCCTCCGCGTGCTTCGCCTTCGCCACTGCATGGTCCAGCGCTGCCTCCTTGGCCGTAGCTGTTGCAGCCGCCAGCTTGGCCTCCGCCTCTGCCTCAGCTTTGGTGGCCCGCTGCATCGCCCCCTCCTTCGACTTGAGCTCCTTGGCGGCCTGCGTGTACCGCTCCTGAGCAGTAGGGACCCGCATCTGGCTCTCCTGGAACCGCTCCTGCGCGCGCTGCAGTGGGGCGAGGTCCTTGGCAAACTGCGGGAGCAACGCAAGCTGCTCCAACGCCTGCGGGTCGGGAGTAGCTTCCGTAGGAGCTGTGCGGGCACTCCATGCCCGAGACGCTGAACGCGAGGCGCGCCACGGTGGAGCGCGCTGGTAGACCGCCACCTCGCGCCCGCAGTTCGCACACATGCCGCTGTTGCACATGATGCGGAAGCTGTACGCCCGATCCCCGCATGCGCAGACGCTGAAGTCGCCCTGCCTCACCATCTTGGTGGGCGAGGACTGCTTCCTGGTGCGGGGCGGGCGAACGCCCCGCGGGAAACGAGAAAACGGATGGCGCCGCGCGTCCCCTGCCTGCTCATGCTTGAGCCAGAATGGATACGGAGGAGGAGGAGGAGGAGGAGGAGGAGGAGGAGAAGGGAAGAGGCGGAGGAGGAGGAGGGTCCGTGGAGGGACCGGGGGGTGCCGTCCTGGAGCGCGCGATGGCGACCTCGGGCTTCTTGGAGGGGTCCCGGGGCCACGGACGTGCGCCTTCCTCGTGGCCACGGCTGGATCCGCCTTGATACTCTTGCCCACACGCACCCTGGGGCATCCACGGACCAGCGGGGTCCGTCCCACAGACCAGGGGACCGGGAGGCCGTCCCACAGACCAGAGGGTCCGTCCCACAGACCAGGGGGGTCCGTCCCACAGACCAGGGGGTCTCCCACAGACCAGGGACCAGGGGGCCGTCCCACAGATCGGGGGCACAGGCTGGGAGGCCGTCCCACAGACCAGTGGGTCCGTCCCACAGACCGGGAGGTCCGTCCCACAGACCAGAGGGGTTCGTCCCACAGACCAAGGGGGTCCGTCCCAGACCAGGGGTTCCGTCGCACAGACCAGGGGTCGTCCCACAGACCACAGACCAGGGGGTCCGTCCCACAGACTAGGGGGGCCGCCCCACAGACCAGGAGGTCCGTCCCACAGACGGGGGGTCTGTCCCAAATACGAAGGACCAGGGGGTCCGTCTCAGACCAGGGGGTTTCCTGAGCTCCGACGTTGCAAAAAAGTGCGAAAAAAATGCAACGTCGAAAAATATCGCGCCTGGATCCCCGGACCCTATTCTTCTGCGTCATGCTTCGAGCCAGATCGACCTGTGAGGGCCCCTGGGCCCGAGCTCGAGCGAAAACGCCTTTTGCGAAAAAAATGCGACGCCAAGATCTCAGGGTCTGTCCCGCAGACCAAGGAGTCCGTCCTACAGACCAGGGGGTCCGTCCACGGTCCGGCGGGGGGTCTGTGGAGGGACCGGGGGGGGGTCCTTCAGGGTCCAGGGTCTCGGATCGACTGCTCACGTGCCCAATTTCTGGGGTCCGTGAAAGGTCGGAAAGGGGGCCCCTTGGAGCCCGAGGGGGGGCCCAAGGCCTGCGTTCGACGACGTGCGGCCCCGTGCACAACGACGCGCGTACGACGACATAGCGGCGACGACGGTCGGGAGAAGGAGGGGCGGATGGGACGGCCAACCACCTCCCGCACTTCCTTTTTCGCCCTCCCAGCCTTCCGGATTCGTTTCCGACCCGGCTTGCCGCGATCTTGCTTCCGATTCCATGCGACTCGGCCCCGCCGTCTTCTGCCGATGTCGATTTGGCTGCCGACTCCTGCCAGCTTCTGCCGATTCGATATTCGGGTCGATCCGCTCCGACTTAATCGATGCTTTGCTGGGGCCACCTGCCAAGACGGGCCGTGCGAGGGGATCCGCCCGTCCCTCGGGGCAGCGTGGTCACAGCGAGGGGGAGCGAGCGGTCTTGCACCGCCCCTGGGCGCGTGGCTGCACGGGCGCTCCGCGGTCTGGATCCAATTGTCTTGCCGCCGTCGCTCCGCGAGCCGCCCCGCGCGGCCCGCGACCCGCCACGCGACCCGCCCGCATCTTGGCCCGCGGCGCCCACGATCCGGTCGTGGCACTGCGTTGAGAAGAATTGGGGGCCTCCAAACAAGGTGGTGACCGCACCGTGTGGCGAGTCGGTGGGGATTCGGGGTCACCGCACGGTTTTGGGACTCGGGTCGTTCTCCGAGGACGTTTCGGGCGACCAGGGGCATCCGAGGCCACAAAACCGCGCGATGACGGACCGCGCGGTGAGGTCTTTGGGGGATTTAGAGGTCACCGCACGGTCTGTCACCGCACCGTTCGTCATGCAGGGCTTGCGATCCCCTGCCGTCGACTCCGTCTCGTTTGCTCCTGGCCTCCCCTTCCCCATTCTTCTCTCCCTGCCACCCGTGCCCCCCGTTTCCCCCCCCACCGTCCCCCCTTGCCCTCCCCCCCCCTCGGCGTGTCTCCATCCCCGCTTCTCCCCTTCTCCCCTCCCCCCCCACACCTCGCAGTGCCTTCCCGCATTCTTCTTGGTGCCCTCGCCATTCCGTCCGTACCCCCACGCCTTCGGTAGCAAATCATGGGCGCCTGGTGTACCCTCTTAATTCCGTGTTTAGCGTCGATTAGCGTCGATCAGCGCTTGGGAGTCGATGGCATGTGCAGATTTAGCGTTGATTAGCGTCGATTTAGCGTTGACTCGCGTCGACTAGCATCGATCAGCGTCGATTCGCATGAGCCACCGAGAGGGTATGGGAGGCTCCCGCGAGTTGCCACCGAACATCCCTCTTTCCCCAGCTCCTCTCTTCCCCTGCCCACTTCCCCCTCCCTTGGCTTCCTCCCCTCTTCCTTCCCTCCCCCCTCCCCCCCTCCTCATCCCTGCTCACCGCTGCTCCTCGGCGTGGGTGTCCGTCGTTGTCGTGTCACCGCCGTCGCCGATGCCACCGCCGTCGTCGCTGC